GCAAACAAGGCGTGGATCATCCCTGCCATGTGTCACATACTCCAAAGAAGGATGATCACTGGTGATGAGGCACAGGCTAAAGAGAAATGCTCCAGAGATTGTGACCCAGAGATTTGCCTCTTTCCATTCTGTGGCTCTTTTCTCCTCTATAACCCACCTTGCCCTTCTCAGCCCATCTTGATGCTAGCCTGTTTCAGTTAGAGCTTTCTCACTGGAAGCCCCTGCAGAACACTGCAACTAAAGAAAATTTCTCCTTCAGCCTCAGTTCTGGCTCCCAACACAACAGCAGTCAGGGGAGAAGCTACTGGAAACCCTTCCCAACCTTGCTCAGTGCAGAACTAAGTATTTTTTCCTCCAGGAGGCCAGTGAGGGTGGCATAACAGGCTGCCCAGATATGTTGTACCATCCCCACCCTTGGAGGTTTTCAAGACTTGAATGATCAAGCCCTTAACCACCAAAACTAATCTCATGCCTGATCCTGTTTGCGCAGAAGACTCAGCTGGAGACCTGTAATCTGAATTATTCTGTCATTTCACAACCTACAAACCTCCGTTAAACCTAAACAAATGGCTATTATTGAGAGCTCAGAGTTTGCCTTAAGCAAGGTAGAATTTAACTGGAAAAGCAAGAGACACCTACCCAACAACTTCTACCCACTGCTCCAAAGCATAGTGCCTTCCAATTTCTATTATGTATGTTTATATTGTTATTTGTGGTAAAGCAATGGAATCCACCCTCAACTCTCCAAAAAGATCTTTCCAAACTTAAAAATTAAAAAAAAAAATAAAAGAAAGAAAAAGGGGAAAAACAAAAAAAGAGAGAAGAAATTCAGCTTTAATTTCAACTGCAGAGGCTTTAAAGCTATAAACAGTGATAAATTGGGTACGATATACAAAGTGTTTAATAGTGTTACCTACACCCAGGGAAGTCAGGTGCCAATGGCAGCTGGAGCTGGGGAAAGAGCACAGTCACACTGGCCCCTCAGAGGGCTTAAGAGGCTCAGTGAATGCACAAACATGATGCGCTTCTATCACCTCTGGGTCTAGAGTTACCTCAGGAACCTACACATGGTGCTGTGTCACATAGCTATTCTGCACAAGTGCAATAACTAAATCTACTCATAACCTATATCTAGGAGGTTGAACCAGACACAGATGTTATTTATAGAAATTCTTTCAAAAAGGAGGAAAAAAAAAAGAGCAAGTTACTGCTTGCTGCAGGAAGATTGAATTTTGCAATAGGATGCTGCAGAAGTTCTGCTCCTGCTCATGAGACTTGACTCTTCCTCCTCCCTCTGCTGAGCAATTAAATGCTAGTGACATACAGCTAAAAATATAAAACTAAATATAAAACTGATTAGTAAGTAATTTATGAAAAAATTAAGCCTACTTCACTCAGGAACTCTCTCATTCCCACTATATCTATTTATAACACCAAGAAATGAAGTATTATCTAGTGTTTTATCCAGAGGTATATAATACACTTCAAAAAATTCTTGAACTGGTACAGCTGATAAAATGTCTTTCAACTACAGACTATCATCACTCACATTTCATAAATATTTTGTTATCAAATGATGATGTTATTACTGGACATGAAAGAAGGCATACAAACACTTCATTGTGCCTAAAAGGATCATATTTTGACATGGACACTCAAAAACTGAACAACTTGGTGAGTGCCATTCCTGGGGTGTTTCAGAGGAGCTCTCATGTTTTGGGATGAATGACCCATGCAGCCTCTTGGCAGCACCCTGCTGCAGCCACACGTGTTCATGTGAGCAGAGGCATCATTCTGCAGGACCACAAAACCACTCCATACGCTGGCTCTGCTGCAGGTGCCTACAAGGGAAGGTTACACAACACCTGCTTGTCCACAAGCAATGAATCCTTCAAGGGACAAAGGGTAAACCTTGCTGCATAGGGGCTGGGGTTTTCTCAGTTCCCAGATCCAGGCTGCTGTGAAGACTCTGTCTCATTAACTCCTCAACAGTGAAGAATACTGTCTACTTGGACTGGTGTTTTTATTACTCCATGCATCTAGCCACCACTAAGCTTCCACACTTAGGATTTAGAAGCCTTAGTCCATGATGGAAAATTAAATATTGCAATTGCAGTTGAGGTTATGAGCACATCAGTAACGCAGGTGCCCTGGGTTCAGTGTTTAAACCACAACAAGAGGACAAAGCAACACCTCTGCTGTGCTAAGGTACCCATTTAACAGACACAAGCATGGCTGACTGCCATATAGAGTTAGTTCACTTTGTAGCAGACAGGATTTTTATCCAATACACTAGGATATCAGCCCAAGTACTTTCTTTAATTAAGACCATACAGGCCAGAAATAGCCACACTGCCTATTGTTGTGGAAGAACTTTACACCCTTATAAATACCTAGAACTACAGCAACTAAGAACTCTTAAACACCAAACATCACTACTACTACAAGAATTCAAACTCCGAAAGAAGTAACAGTGGAACTTTATTAACCCTTATTGTAAATTAAATCAAGATGTAGTTCAGTTAACACTACTTGTACATAAAATCACGTGAAATATGATTACTGTATTTTCTATGAAAACATGACAAAACAAGCTGTCCGGAACCAGCGAGAATGCAGAGATATTAGGAAGAATCAGATCAGAACTACAGTTTAAATTCTGTGAAATTACTCAGGAATTAAATTGGTTACAGTATCAATAGCTGCACATAGAAATTGCCTGACATCTTTCAAACTTCTATGATTGAAATTTTGCACGTATCATTGACTTGAAAATTTTCCTACAATGATTTCCTCATCAAAGCTAGCATTTTCTGTTGCTGTAAGTGCTAATGATGGCATGACTTAGGGCTGCTACAGCTAAGTGCATTGCATGCTATGCCAGTATAGTACTACAGCCAGAACACTGCTCTGACACATTGTCATCTGCCCCATCTGGCAGCTATATAATGGTATACTTGGGCAAGCTGTTACAACCAAAGATCAGGGTGGATCAGTAATTGACAAAGAAGCCTTGAAAGTGCTGCAAGAAAGTGTTAAGTGTTCCTGCTGGTCATTTTTCTAGAGTTATTACTGCTCAATTGGGATGTAAAATAAGCTCCTGCCACTCACAGCCACTGAAAAGTGCACGGGTGTCTGAAGGATGGGAGACACGGATGCTAGATTCATAAACAAATCCTGAGCAGAGTTGCCCTCTAGTTGGTTTGAAGTTTTGCTGCTCTCATTTCTTATCTTAAACCTTTTTCCCTTATGGAAGTCCAGCCCTCCACACATTTTCCCATGTGTGGTTCAAGACAAAGCTGTCAATCTGGAACAGACACACCCACTCTACAAGTGTTTCTTGTAATGAATCAAAGAACAAAGACTTGTTCTACCAGATATGTACAAATCAGGATTTCAAGTCTTCTCTCCTGTAGCTTGGACACAATCCTCAACCACAAGAAAGCTTATACTTTAATCTCAGTTCAATCAGTGGGTTTTTGAAGATGAAGGAGAGTGTTACTTGGATATAGAAAACAGGTTTATTTTGTGCCAAGCAGCCAGTGAGTAGAAATGGACAAGTTTAAGCTAGCTAGTGAAAAATTAAAGGAAAGCCTAAATCTCTCCCCACTATCACCACCTTGCCCTGATCTTTTTAAAGTTGCTTTTTTTTTTTTTTTTTTTGATCAGAGCAAAGCTAGAACTAGAGCTATAGCAAGCCAATAACAATATAACAAGCCAAGGTTTAGATTGGATATTAGGAAAAATTTCTTCACAGAGAAGGGAATAATGTATTGGAACAGGCTTCCCAGGAAAGCAGTGGAATCACTGTCCCTGGAAGTGTTAAAAAACTATCTAGATGAGGCCCTCAGTGGTATGGTTTAGTGGTGGCCTTAGCAGTCCTGGGGTATCTTACAGGTCTTTTCCAACTTAGTTGAGTCTATGATTCTATGATTCTAGTAATTTCTAAACACTCATATAAAGACTGGTTAAAATAAAATGATGTTCCTGACAAATTAATCCCCCTACACTAAAATCTGCACAAATATTGGTGTAAAACAAAACATTTACTTTGTCAGCTTCTGATTCAAAGATACAATTTCTCAGTGTTTGTAATGTTCATCACTGTTCTGTACAATGGAAAGAAAACATGACCTAATGGCTGACAGGTAGGACCTGGGTGAGGAGATGATTCTCATGTCATTGCTGCCATTGCCACTGACTGATCAGTCAGTCTTTGGGCCTTTGCCCCAGTTCTTCCAGCTGCAGTCAGCTGCTCCCTACTGTCTCTCTTAGCAGCACAATGCTCCACAAACACCAGTGGGATATTTTCATTCTGCTTATAGGCCAAATATTTCCTTTCTAGCCTAAAATCATAGGCAAAATTTCATAAGCTACTTTGAGTAGAAGACTCTTGTCAACCCCTTACCAAAATCTAACTACTGTACCTATGCACTACAGACAAAAGTTAAGTCTCTTGGTAATACTCTTCTTTACCATCCTTCTCACCTGCTGCAGCTTCTTGCATTTCATTTTATAGTAGGTTTAGGCAGGATTTACATATGTTTCCCAATCAGTCTCTGATTGCCAATCATTATTTGATTCACATGTTCTTCTCTGTCAAAAAGACAACTGACACTGAGGTCTCACCCATACAAAAAGATCCCTGCACTTCTCATAGCTCTCCCAAAACCTCAATCATATCTGTGTTTTAAGTGGTGCAACTTGACTAAACTGTTTTCCAAACTTCAGGCAAAAAGAGCTGGTGAAGTACAGTTGCAGAGCATCTTCCTGTATTGCAGACAATGCATGAGGCCAGCCGGACAGATTTAGAGCATTGCTACAGAGCTTCAAAGGGAAGCCTGCCAGGCAGAGAGAAGACAGGGCTAGTCTATTTGACAACTGAACTGAAACAGAAGGGGGAGCAGCTGTAAGAAGGATGGAGGAGGAGGAGGACAGGGCATGCAAAGAACAGGAAGAGATTCATAAAGGGAGGACAGGAGGGCCAAAGGTAATGTATATATGAAAAGGAATATATACTTCACAAAAGAGACTCTGCGCAGAAAATGAATGAATAAAATACAAACCCAAAACAAATCTTGGAGCAACTAGAGAGAAAAAAATCCCTAGGAACAGCATCTCTCTACAGGCAGAGGAGCTAGTGCTTAAGAATCTTATTCAAAGGCTGGGAAGGACATAGCTAACAAGAACTGTATCAATAAAGGAAAGTATACAAATAAAGGCAGTGAAAGCAAGTTTAGAAAGGCTTTGAAAACACGCTCAATTTGTAAAAGTTTTCTCAAGGCAAAAGAAATGTATGTAGTAGTTTCTTCCACTCCAAACTGTTCCGCTTCTTCATCAGCTGCATTTCTATGCCCGCTTCTGTCATCTTCTCTCCTAAAAATTCAGTAGCGTTAAGCAGCAGACAGAAACTATAGCCCTGGTTTCTCCTTGTGGGAGGTGGTACAGCGGCAGCTTCAGAGGGTTTTCATACTTCCAAGGATGTGTAGCTTGGAAGCCTCATGCTGCTGGGGCCAAAAGCAAACCCCTTCTTTCCCTCTAGATGACTCACAGTGACAGCTAGAGTTATTCAGCATCCTACCCAGCAAAAGGCTATGCTTTATAAGGACTGGGACAAGCCCAGGAGGCTCTTTTCTTTCCTGATTTGGATTTCCAACCTTCCTAGAGGGGTTACACCTTCAAAGAGGAGTTTAGCATTTCAGGCTTTGCAGATCCAGGCTGACTTCATTGTGTTAGTTGTCCAGAAAACAAAGTAAAATAGGTACAGGGAGAAGGCTGAGTGAAATGAGTCCAGCATAGATGCCTGATTCTTGCAGGTAAGTTACCAGGCTGCTTGCATCCGTATCGAGCTATCTGCAGCAGTCCTTGTATGTGCCCCAACACACAGAGCTAAATTACTGCCCATGCCTTAGTCTAAGGAATGAATGGGGACCTGGAAAATTAAAACGCAGCAGCTGGGTAAAGACAGGCAAACATCTAGAAGGAACAGAGCCTGTAATTTTATCTTAGGCTGGCAAATTCCCTTCCACCCACAGGAAGGGAATTCCTCTTTCCCCCCATCACACTCAGTGCAATTCATTTGTTTCCCCCAGTAAGATCCCCCTCAAAGCAGTTTCCTCTCCTTGCTTTGTCCTTGACATACCTCTGCTAGAAGCTGAAGCGCCAGGAGTAATTATAATGATTTGTTATATCCAGTCACATTATTGATGAAACCATGAAGTTAGTGATATAAAATCCTTAGTCAGAGCAGAGAAACTCTGTCAATAGCACCATTTGAGTGCACACTCATTTTCTCTAGAAGGCTTCATCATTTAAGTGCACTCAAGCTTACAAACCAGGAGGTTCATGTCAGAGTCACAAGGAATCTGACAATTCAAACTCTTCTGCCTCCTTTGCCAATACCACCATGAGGGCTAAGACACTGGAAGCAGAAACCTGACACAGAAAAATCTGTGTTCAGCTGGCCACATCATCCTCAAAGCTGTAGAAGGGGAAGGATGAGAGAGCATCAAATGGGTACAAATATACCCAAGACCTAACAGTGGCTTCTGTTGCTGAACTTCCTCTCAACTGTTCTACAGATATAGTGGTCTGGAAATCCTTAAAAAGGAGACAGTAACACTTTAATTTGGCTACTTTTCAGATCACCATTGTGTTTCTAATCTGCAGCAAGCCAAGGCTCTTCTCTATCCTCCAAACATTCCCATTACCAGCATTCCCATATTAGACACAATGCTTACCTGGCTTTTCCCTTACAGCCAATTCATTCTGACAGGAGCAGCCTCTGTGATACCATCCCTGCCTGCTTTCCTGCAAATCATTCATTTTTGACTCTATAACAGTTCCCTCTAACAGGATGAAGTCTGTGCTCACAACGCATCCCAGCTCCCATGCTTGCTGCAGGCTCCATGGCTTGGTTGTCAGTGGCCAGAGACTAGCACAAAGCAGGGGATGAATGAACTCTTCAGGACAGATCCCTGCCTACTACTTGTTATCTATCCGGCCAGATGAAATCTGAGATGAAATAAAAAAATTACCATATTCCAACTCTCACCACATCTTGAATTCTCTTTGTGCTAGACAGAAAAGAATAGTGAGATTTCCCTCTTCTGCTGCTTGTTTGCAACCCTTTTATATGCTTTATTTGCAGTCTGGTGCTTATTTCTTGTTTTGGTCTTTCTATCTACTTTCATTACAGTTTTGTAGCATCTAGATTCTTGCTGTGATATGCTCTAAATTTCTTCCTGCCTTTTTCTCTGGGGAAGAGGGGGAGAAACAGATGAAAAGGTAAAATTAATTTGTTTCCTTGATAAGGCAGTTAAGAAGCACATTGGCCTCTCTGAGCATTTCAATAGCTTACCCCCTGTTCTAATATTTCTGAGAGAGGAATGAATGCTCAAAACTGCCAGCACATCCACATCCTCTTCTTTGAAAATTGAGAACTGAGGCTAATTGTAATGGCTTGCACAGTCCAATTATGTTACTGATCTAATCAGCTAACATCAGGAGAAGCGCTGAATAAATCTGCACAATAGCTGGGATGCAGAGTTGATTTCTCTCTGGCCCAGCACATTTAAAGCATGCTTATCAGCTGTATAACATTGGAAAAAAAAGAGACACTGGCTGCAAAAAGATTTTTGAATCTTCCCCTCCCATTTCTCTACTCACATCCCAAAGGAAGAAGCCTTTAATTTACAAAGGATTTTGTTGGTTTTTTTCCTGGTCTGGGCACACCCTCTTGAAATAAAGCAAACATAAGCACTTGGGTTTCATTAGTTAGTGACTAAGTACGTTATGAGACAGAAAACTGGCAGAGAAAGTAAGGCTGGTTTGTTCGTGTTGGTCTTACTGTTGGCTCTTTGTGCACACTCTGAGTGGCAGGCCTCTGTAAACTGAGCTCAACACTTGTGGGGTCCTTCTTCAACTCTACTGGGGGCCTGTCCCCTCTGGCTACTCCATCAAATTTCAGAGATCTGCTTGGCGAAGGAGTAAATATTACTGTTGTACACTCTTTATCCTTGTCTTCCACACCGTTCATATTCTCTCCATTCATGCTGACTTTTCCATCTACCTGCAGAATACAATTAAATAAATATGCTGAGGCAACTAGCATTCAAAGGAATTTAGGAAATTAGGACATCAACATGATATTAAAATTGTTAACACAGTCTGTGCCATCACTTAATGACAGAGCCAAGCACACATTTCATTTAACTGCCCAAGATAGAAGAAAACCCTCTTCTGGGGGTGGCGATGTATAAACAAAATACAGACAGAAGGTAATAATTTTTCTGGATTCCCTGGTTTCCCACATTTTGTTTTCACAGTAACATACAAAAAGCCTTTGTGTGCATCACAGATCAAAAGATTTTAAAATTTTACACAAATTTTAGACAAAAATTGCTGGGTTTTGCATTGCCTTATACAAGAGGCAAGCAGGTTCTCCTAATTATGCTGATGAACTGCTGTGTAACCTGACAACCTCACCACAGTATTAGTAGACTATGCTTTCTGAAGCACTGTCATGAGAACTTTGAAGCGTCAAGAGCAGCAGAGTTCATCCATTTCTTTCTTTACTGTTCACAACAGGGAAGCAAGGAACCAACATATAAACCTGGGCAACCCACTTTCTCCATCAGGCAATAAAATAAATAGCTGCTTTCCCAGCAACTGATATTATGCAGTCTCCCTGAAAAGGGGAGTGCAGAAACAGCTTAACTACTTTGTTCTCAGGGTCAAGCTAGCTCCTCTGTGGGCATATGTTCCTGCTAAGGAACCCTCAAGCAAGGAAGAAAATACAAGATAAGCTCTAGCTTCTTCCTCTGCACTTGACACAGCTTCCTCTTGGGACTTTAACACTTCATTATTATGTTCTGAATGGAGGTGGCATGCGGAGACTTCCTTCAGTTTGAAGGGCTGTATACATGAAAAAGGTCTTGCTACAAAGACCTCACAAGCCATTGACCATGAGAGGGCCCAGCTGGAGAGAGACCAGGAGAGGACCAAATATCAGTAACACCATATTGCTCCTGCCTAGCTACAGCACAAATGTTTATAAGGCTTATCAGCAGGAGTAAGCTTTAAATAGATTTGAAGGAGGGCTTTGCTCTGTGCACAGAGACCCTTCCTTGAAAACAAACATCACAGGAGACAACACAAAGGTGAGGGAGCAAATATGGACAGACTTCTCTGCCAATTGCTGGACTTTGGGGAAATAATGGCACAGGCTAGTGATTTCTTAGAAAGCTACCTGGGACACATACAGTGATTAGTCAAGTTTCTCCACAGGCACTGCCTAAACAAAAAACGTGTAAAAACAAGCCCAGAGGTAAGCCATTCTATGGGAACTTTTCACTTACTTCACTGTTACTGAAAACTAATGCAACAAGTGTCCAAACGGCTTTATTAAACTGAGACATTGTTTAAGAAAACAAAGTTCTTCCCATCTCATGCTCCCTGCCCCCTTCTTTATTTCAGCATTTACTTATCTTCGGTAGTTTACTTCTTGAGTAAACAGCTTGGATACCTCAAATCCCGCTCTTCAACTTAGTCTATGCCATAAGTGCTAAGGTGAGGGCAATCTCCTCCCACTGCTTTCTTGTGTAAGTGCATCCAGAGGTCTGTTCTCCATCTGAGCCTGATTAACTAAGAGGCCATCTCGGAGGTAGTGGGCATCCTCAGCTCTGACAGATGTGCAGGGAGGTGATGGCAGTTAGCACCTCGTGCAATCAGCTCCCAGGCAGAGTAGAGTGGTTTCACCCCTTTTGACTGCTTTTCAGAACCTCCAGGAAAGGTTCCCTCCCTTTCCTCACTGCCATCATCCACTCAACACAGCACCACTCTCAGGGTTTCATTTCCAAACACAAATGTGAGCAGACACTGAGCTCTGTGACTGTGTGCTGGATTATCTACTAGAGAGGCAGGTCATGAAAGATCTCAGAAATAAAAAAGCCAGGAAAACACTGGAAGGCTGCACCATCAATTTTAGTGTCTCTGTTTAGACTAAAACATTTCTCTATTTATATTACAAAGGAAAACCAAATGTTTGAATGATCAGGACAGATGCCCTGGCTGCGGAGTTAAACAAACATACTCCTTTCCTTCTGATCTGGAGCAAGTCAGCACATTGTCACCAGATCCAAGAATCATTGACATACTGGTGTTTCAAGGGAAAACAACACTACAGCTACATGTGGTAGGGAATGATTCCTACTGAGACAAATCACATTCTTCCACATTGAGCAAACAAGATCAAGGCAGACTTTTAGTGGTGGTTGGTGGGGGGTAAAAGTATCCGTGGGTTAGTTTCTCCCCACAGACATTAACTATATATGCATTAATGTGAAGATGATACACACACAGGTCTTGGTCCTCTGAAGAAAAAAGTGGCATGGATCAAAAGACAAAAAAAAAACCAACAAAACCAGGGATCTATGATTCACTGATGTTTAAAATGTAAACTCTACAGGGGTACCAACCGAGGTATACAAGAGATCAGAATTACCAGTTTCACATTTCAACTAGGAAACGTGTGGGTGCACAAGAGCTTGGACAGACTTCAAGAAATTGGACATCTCAACATATCTCACTACCCATACAAAGACGACTTATTTTCTAGTAGTAAACAACTTGAATATACATGGTAGTGATGTCACCTGGACATCAGCAGGGCTACAGGGACCCTTGCATGCCACTAGCAAAGTATCAGATAGCAATGGCAGACACAAGGGGACCCCAGCTCTAAAGGCTGGGGGTGACCATGCCACTAGGCTTTGCACTGCTGACAAGGCTACAATGAGACTTGGGGAAGCTCCAGTTTTGGTACAGGCCTTGCGAGCAGCAGATATTTTTCAAACTTGACTTATTCTGGCTTGTTCTCTCTAACACATCCCAGTTCTTTGCTTTCTCTAATATTGGTTCAATATTTTACTCCCATTCTGCACACTCAGTACAAAGATACATGCCTCAGCTTTCATATCCAGTTTCAGTCTCTTCTACCCACTTTGCTCACACATCTCACAGCTGGCTCCTAATTCATAGAATCATAGAATCATAGAATAGTTAGGGTTGGAAAGGACCTTAAGATCATCTAGTTCCAACCCCCCTGCCATGAGCAGGGACACCACACACTAAACTATGTTGCCCAAGGCTCTGTCCAGCCTGGCCTTAAACTCCTCCAGGGTTGGAGCATTCACAACTTCCTTCGGCAACCTATTCCAGTGCCTCACCACCCTCACTGTGAAGAACTTTTCCTTATATCTAACTTAAAGTTCCCCTGTTTAAGTTTAAACCCATTACCCCTTGTCCTACCACTAGAGTCCCTAATGAAGAGTCCCTCCCCAGCATCCTTGTAGGCCCCCTTCAGATACTGGAAGGCTGCTATAAGGTCTCCATGTAGCCTTCTCTTTTCCAGGCAGCCCTGCATTTGTCTGAGCTCTCTTACTTCTATTCCCATAATCTTTGTGCAGTTCTTGCAACCCAGTGCAGTCACTCCCCATCTCTCACCAGCAGTCCCCAGTCACATGCTGCCCCAGTACCAATGTGTTTCCCTAAATCTGCATGGACAGTTTATATCCTCTCTTTATGCCAGTGAAGCAGCTTTCCCCCTTCATCCCTAGTAAGAAGCATGTTTAGGACAGAAAATATCATTGGGCAAGCTTGACTCTGAAGGCGCAGGGCTCTTCATACTGCATACAGGCACACTGCAGTGTTTCAAAGGCTTATGACTTGGCTGAATGGGATGGCCTTGTTTGGATATGGCAAAAATCAGACACCTGACACACAAGCCACTTCAGGTCTTGCTCCAAAAGTCAGGGCTTCCATGCTCCCTGCCCCTTCCCTTTTGTTTAAAAACAAACAAAAACCCCCAACATAACAGCATACTCTTTCCTAACCTCTTTCTCAGAAAACACCTTGCTTTTTAATTAGAGGACCCCCTTTCCCTGTCTTTCCCCAAACCAATTTAGCCTGAGGAAAAATGACCAGCAGAAATATTCCAGTCAGAACAGAATAAGTTTCTAAGAAGGTTGCTAACCAAGAAGAAATCACTAGACTGGGTAGCAGAGAGAATGCTGCAAACATTTTCTAATAAATTATGTTAAACATTAATACATTTGGATGATTTAGTCACAATCTCTTTGCCTCTTGATTGACTCTGGGGAGTGCAACGTATCCTACCTTAAAGTTCTTTAAAACTTCCTGTGTATTTTTGGGTTGTGAGTAAGGCTTGGGTGTCAGCATAGGCACAGCCTTGGAGACAATGTTTTTGCTGGGAGATGTGCTGCCCATCGAACTGCTGGGCTCTAGTTCAGTGGTGGGAACAATGGTTGCTTCAATGGTGGCAGTGAATTTTGGAGCAGGCAGTGACTGTTGCCTTAAATATCTCAGAGGATTTTGGTCTTTCAGTGAGGAATTTGGCTCCACTGAATGGCTTCTTTCCAGAATTTTTGGCATCTGCAAACGCTCAAGGACAGCTTCACTGATAGTGAACCTTTCGATGTACTGCTGGAGGATGCTCTCAGCCTCCTCCTGTGACTTCGCATTCTTGTATGCCTCATGAAGCTCCCGCTCTCTTCTCTCTCTGCAAGGGCGATAACACAAGAGAGACCATCACATTAAAATTAACGCTAAAAATCACTCTAATTTCCTCTATTCCATCAACATCGTTCCCTCTCTCTCACCCCAGGCCTGCAGGCATGGCTGCCCACAGTTACCTATCACCCGTGGAGCACACATTTCCAAACATGCCACTGCACTCCAGTAAAACAACATACTTCTCTTCCACAATTTCTCGGTAGGTTTTGATGCTTTTTCTGCGCTCATTCGCTCCATCTCCAGACAATAACCTTTCCATTTTCTTTCTCTCAGCTTCCTTTTTAATTAAATCCTGTGAAGCGCTCCTTCGACGACTCTTCCACCGAGCCAGGTCCTGTGAGAAAAGGAAGGCACCTGAATGAAGAGCTGTCAATAGCTAAAAACTGGCCATAGAAACCAGTGAACCTGGCGAGCTGCTTTGCAATGCTTGTTCCTCACTGTGGGACAGGCTCCCATCACCTGCAGGCAGCAATGTTTATTTTGAAACGGAGATTATACCATAAAATGAAGATGTTGCCTGACTGATTTTTCTTCTAACAGCAGGATCCAGTAAGGATTTCATAGCTCCACTGGTATATTTTCTTTTTGGCTTTGCAGAAGAACACTAGATAATAACACCAGGAGATTTGGCCTAAAAGGACTCGTTTTCACTTGGGCAAAAACTTGGGGCAAAACCTGATTTTCCAGGAGGATGGAGTAGAAAAAATACATTTGGGGAAGAGTTTTAACAATCAGTTGTATGGGAGGCAGAAGTTCATTGGAGGAAGGGATGTCATTTCACCATGAACTACAGCCGCACTGATAGCTTGCCTTGGAGAGATGACAGTCCCATACTTTGCCCATTCTATCAGCTAAATACATACAAGCATAGTTGACTCAGTGGAGCATACAAACTTAAATTATTCCTCATGGGCACCCTTGAATATTCTGGATGCAGATCTGAGCAACATACCCTGGAGGTATTTAAAAGATATCTAGATGTGGCATTTAGAAAATGGTTTAGTGGTGGACTTGGCAGTGCTACATTAATGGTTGGACAGGATGATCTTAAAGGTCTTTTTCAACCTAAACAAGTCTATGATTCTATGACTAAAGTGGCTCACACCTGGCAGCGTGAGACATGACAGAGCACACAGCATATGGTTTGTATCCAGTTATATATATGCGCTTGTTGAAGTAATGATCTTACTCTTTTTGGAATCAGCCTGCCCAAAATTGACCAGAATATCCACTGATTCTGGTTCTTTACCTTTCTTGCAAAACCAGCTTGACACAAAACCTGACAGTCACAGGAGATACCTGTTACAAGTGCCTATGTCTTGCATCCTGCTTGGGTTATGAATTCACAAGTCTGGGAGGGTATAAAGACAAGATCTTTTTCACAGTACAAGTATTACAATAAAGAAGTGTCCTAGGCTGTGCCATTTCTTTATAGCCAACTAGTAAAGGAGCAAAATTTTACATGTAAAAAATAACCTCTACAGAACTTCTGCAAAGAAAAATAACTTCCTAGGAAACTACAAGGGTGCATTTGTCATTAACTATACGACATCAGGAGATTAGTATACAGATTATATTTCATGTAGTCTAACAAATTCTGGTTTTAATAAAACCCAGAGATTCTGTACACATACTCAATTCAAAAGCTGTTTCATTAATGACATGGTTTTCCAAATACTTTAATTGCATTTTTATTGGCAAACAGCAGAAGGTACTGCAAGCATAACTTATTTTATTAAAACCAGGAATAAACCTTGTCACTTTTAATTTAGCTTAAAACCACAAATTATTGACATTACACTCAAGACAATGCTCATTAAAGTATTTCTTCACATGACCTACATATATCAGCTTATAACCCCCTTCTTGAAACATAGGCCTTTAATTTTCCTCAGTTACTAATTATTCTCATTGAAGTACAAAAGCATTTCTTTATTCAGCTACTCCCACTTTTGCCTATTGTTTAGAAATTAGTTTTTCATTTGTAATTTTCATAACTTAAGACCACCTCCTCTTTTTGTAATTAAAACCCAGGCATGTTTATCTTTTCCAGCTCTGATGCTTTAGAATAACAATAATATAAAAAGCCATGAAACTGTTAATTGTTGGCAAATTTACAGCATGAGCATATAAAAAATATAGACCATGAATGTGGTGTAGTCTCCAGAAAGCCCTCTGAATGCCACAAACATTCAAGTAAGGGCATTTTTAGCACCTCTTCAGAACTTTTAGTTCAGTGTAGAAGGTGCTGAGGGCCTGGAAAACTTACACACTTTACCTCAGAGGATTTTCAATTCAATAACAAAGAGTTCTCAAACCTCTTAAATGCCTTTGGACTCATTCTTATCTCTGCTGGGAAATTATGGCTTCCCACACAGACAGACCTCTCAGCTTAAGTCCTTCATTGTTCTACTATGAAAAGTTATTTTTCAGTTGCATATACTGTTTTTTTTTTTTTTTCCTTTTCTTCCAATTTTCTACCAAAAACCTGAGATGTTTTGCAGTGGCTGTCCATATAATGGGAAATGCACTAGCTGCTTGAAAAGATGTGGGTCTGGGTTTTAATTTTTTTTGTTGGTGGTTGTTTTTTTTTTTAATTAAAAAAATACACCCCAAATTCCTCATTTACAATAAGTCTTTAGAAATAAACAGGATTGATACTAAAATTCCTGGTACTGATTTACCTGCAAATCATGCTTTTCTGTCCTTGCTAATTTGCTAAAGATAATGCCGAATACCAGGACAGCTTAAAAAATACATTGAGTAAAGAGGGTTTAGAAGGGTCTTGTAACCCAAGCAGGGTGCAGCTAACTCGAAGGGTAATTTGCTTCTTAGACAAGACGGAAAATGGTAGCATTTTCTGTATTTATGCAAATTTATTAAAGTCAAGTCCAATCTATTTATTCACTGTCTTGCTTAGTCTTGTATGTTGTCATTTTAAGCATTTACTAATTAGAAAGTTAGAGAAGTCAGTTGTAAGAGAAGCTAGAAAAAATTAGCGTTAGTCTAGAAGATAGAGAAGTCAGAAGTTAGAAGCTGTTCTCCTTCCATTTTTACCTCATCAGAGTTTAATTTCATTTTTGATTTTTAAAGCAAAATACCTGGTGCACAGCCAGAGGCACCAGAGACCTTGTATTCTATAATTTACATTAAATTATGGACTTCTATGCATTTAGCAACAGTCCACTGGGGAAGAGGGATGTTGTTCCTGATTATTTTCACGCTAGAGAACAACTGTAGATTTAGCAGGTTGTACTTTTCTGCCTAGCTAGCTGGCCTCAATGCCAGCATTGCAGAAGATACAGTATACTCACATCTTGCCATCTGGTCTCATCCTCTTTCAGCTGGTTGTTTATGTTCTGCAGTTTCTCATGGCGAGCTTTGCTATGAGGCTGAGTCACAGCTTCGTCTTCACATCTCATGTCAAACATGCTCATACTCCTAAACACGGGGGAAATAAGAAGTGAAGCATTACTTAGAGGCTTATATTCCTTCGGCTTGTTAGAGCTAAAGCCACATGAGGGTGCTACAGCAGAATCAGACACCTGCACCATTATGAAGCTCCCAAAAGCAGCAGTCCCCTAGAAGGACCAGTTAGCATCCCTATGGCTCCCACACAGTACTTCAAACATTATACTCCTCAACTTTCTCTTGGTTTTGCTAGTTGACTGCGACTTTCCCGCTAAGAAGCATTATTAACACTATACCTCCATCAATTAATAATCCTATTCAGATCAGAGTTCAGAACATTTTACTTTCTGAAGATCTGTTTCCCAGTAAGCCTTCAAGACCCCTCCAATTAACACTGCAAGCAGAAGTTTCAGTGTAAAAAATTTCCATGTAAAACAAGAGAGGCTTGAGAAGCACATTATGGGCAGCATGACTGCCTAAATGCTGTTGCTACAAAACCAGGAAGAGCCTGCCCGAAGAAGTACATGCAGCACAAACAGCATGGTACTTCCTCCTCTCCCCTCCCTGCCTCAAAGAAACTCAATGCTATCAGCACCAGCTTATTAATACAGCTGGACTAATAATGAAAAACTGATGTTCAAAACAAAACAGTTTCTTTCTACATACTCTATTTGTGTCACTGACCTTTGGAGAGCTAAAGGAAAAAAAGGTCATGGTTTGATATTCTACATCCATTCAGATTATATAAAGAACTTCACACAAAGATAACTTACTTACTACTCCCCCCCTACTACCTATTATTAGTAACACATGACCTCAGTTGTGCCACTAAAAGCAAAAAGCGAATAAAAAAGCCATGCAGTTCCATATGAAGTGATTTCACAGCAGTGTTCAAATGATCATCTGTAGCTTTAGGTGAGCCAATGAGCCAACTAGCAGGAGAAGCACCCAATGAAGATAAAATTGTAGGCGACTGTGTCCACAGTTATCAAAGTGAAGAGACATAGAAAGCTGTGCATATATATATTTAGCCAACATCTGTACTCAGGCAAAGAAAGATGGGAATGAACCACTCGAGGGAAAACTGAAAAGTCTGGAGAGTGGATGGAAAAGGAAATGCACAAATCCCATCCTGTTTGTAGGTATTCACTCAGAAATGAAGGACAGAATACACATCTTATTGTCTTTAACAGTAAGGTTAGCATATCACCATGCTTCACCCCTCAAACAGAGTGCTGAGGGTGTACATTAATCTTTCTCTGTGGGTAGTTTAACAGTTGCATTGCTCAGGACTGAATTGAAGCACTCCTAAATAACAGAACCCAAAAAGATGGTGAGTTTTGTTGTTTTTGAAACTAAAGGCATATCACCTACTAAGGAACATTTAAATATCAGTCATATTTTGCAAACCTGTGAGGTAGGTTGGGATATGCACAACTTGTAATAAAGCCACCCTTAAAGGGTTGATTCCAGTTTAAGAGCCTTTGAAACTCACACTAAGAAAAGCCTTTAGTGTTAAGTATTTGCCAGCTTGTGCCTACTGGGTCAAACTGATTGTGTAGCTCCTTACCTGTACCCTTCCCTTACAGAATAAGAATGGTTTGGGTTGGAAGGGACCTTAATGATCATCTAGTTCCAACCCTCCTGCCATGGGCAGGGATGCCATGCCAGAGAGTTTTTCACTCACATATAGTAGAAGAAAACAGAAGGCCTGAAGTGGTGGTAACTGGTTCTAGAAGAGTGCATGACTACTCACCCTCTGCCACTGGGGATGGGAAAAGAAAAATACTTTATACCAAGAGTACCCCAATGTCCTAATGAAAGGCTAGTATCTATTCCCTGCATTCACTCAGGTCTCTCAGGGTGCACAGAGACAGCAAAACTAACAATTTTATGGCTATTAACCATAAATGGCAATAAAAAAGGTACTCTGAAAAAGGCTTCAGCCTAGGCCAGGAATCAAACTATACACTACAACCCCACGTACACCTTCTGTCACCAGAATTCAGCCCCATCTCTTCATGAGATTGGAATGGGACTAGTAAGCAGCAACATACTAAGTATTGCCTCTTCCGGACCTTGAGACAGACCAGGGCTGATGACAATATCCAGCATTCCCTAACCAGTGAAGGGAACTTTGTCAGTCTAATAAAGGAGTTTCTAGTTTTGCTGCTGGAATAAACAGCACCTAGTCTAAGACTGAATTCAAGATACAAAGTTTTCAAAGGATACTTAACAAACATTTTGGAACCATTTAAAATGTCAGTTCAATTTATTTTTTCCTACTGCAGGGCCAAATTTTATTATATTCTTCTTAAGGAGGAAAAATACAATCTTACATTTATAAGAACTTAAAAGACAGTTTAGGAAAAATAGTTACTCTGTAAAATAGCACATCTGGAAAGGATGACAATGAGGCTTGAACACTTCTTGTTTTGCCTTTTAAAACAAAATCAAAATCAATGTGGAATAAACAATATGATTTACTCATCTTTGCTACTCCCACATTATACCACCAAACCCATTGCAATGCCTCTTTGAAGGCATCTCCATGCACCTTCTCTTATGTTTGCGTTTAATACAGACATGCAAAAATGTGGAAAAACAAATGAACAAATCAATCAGATAGGTAGGCCTTCTGAAATGGCAGGAAAGTCTCCCTTCTGAAGTGTAACACTTCTGTGTTGTTATGCTCTTTTAATCTCATCTCTTCATTTTACTGAACGGATTTCTGATGCTTGAAAATGATCGCATTAACTCTCGTCAGAGGACACAGACTTTGCTCAGCATAAAGGTGTTACAAGTCTTGTGAAGAATATTCAGTCCATGATTCTAGCCTTTATCATTAGAGGAAAAGGTAACAAATTATAAAGACAGTCTCTGTATACACTTGTTTCTATTTTGTGATTTAATCTGGGAGACAGAGAAGGTCCTGTTTCTGTGAACAGGAGGATATTAAGGACATTATTCTGTGGGTAGTTCTCAACGATTTCTTTGCTTCTAAATGCCCACACTTTGTAAGAATATCTAATACTTTCACAGAGTTTTCTAAGTGACACTGCATACTATTCTGAACTACTGTTTGCACACGCACGCACACAACTAAAATGCTGGAGTGCACTAAATGCCATAGTCCTACTCCTTACGTAAAAAAATGAAGCATCAAGGTGAAGAGCTTGAAAAAAAATTAAGTTTCTACATCATTAAATTAAACCCAACCTGGAAGGGATTCAAAAGAAAGTTTTTAAAAGACAATGAAGGAACAACTGAAGAAGTATTTTCCTGGTAATTATTCTGAAGATCACAATGGATTTTATTTTACTTTGAGATTTCTTTTTTCTTCATATATAGGTCATACTTCATTTTTACTCAACATCCAGCCCAGATTCAACCCAGCTCTCTTTACCTGTAGCTGATTAGAGGCAATGGAAATTCAGAAGAAGAACAAAGGAAAAAAAAAGAGGAAACAATACTTCAAGCAACAGCTGGACATTAGTGTTATGCTCATTCTTTATGGTTTCTTTTTAATATATAAATTATTTTAGCTGCAATGTAAGCCATACTGCATTCAATTTTTCAGTGTTTTTCTGAAAAATTTATTTGCTGCAACACTGTAAAATAATAATGAGGCACCAACTGCATTTTAAATTAGTAGAAAGACAGGAAAGCATGCAGTGTAAGTTGTTTAAAATAGAATCTTGTGAACACAAGACAACTTACTCTGCGTCATCAGACACAGCAGTTCTGGGGCCGAATCTACAAGACCAAATATAAAATTAGAGTGTTGATAAACACATTAGGCAGTAATTGCAACTAGATCCATACAATTTGGATAACTGTCACTTGACCATCGAACCTGTACTTGTAAAGCTGACCAAAAAAATCATACTGATCAGGAATTGTGTATTCAGCAAACAAGACTTACCTAATCATCTGGAGGTCAAACTACATAAGAACACCACCCATCCCTCCCTGACCCCATACTAATGCCCTCATCATAAAAATATGTTGAAGTATACCTAAAATGGGTGTAGAAAATAGTTACTGAAAATATATGATATATTAACATTTACATTAAGTGCCACACATGCGATGAATGGAGACAAAACAGTTACATTCCACAGCAGTGCTCAGAATCGGCATGGAAAACACGAATATTATAGGCAGAAAGTGCGTCACAAGATTTCTTTTTTTGTTGTTGTTGCTGGGGATGTGTGTGTAGCTGAACAAAGGTACTGGTAATATACAAATCAGTATCATTCACCTAAGTGACAGTCTTGTTTAGAGCCATGCAAACCACATATTTGTATCTGGGATTTATCATAAAAGAAGATCAAGTACAAAAGTTGACACTGCAACATTTTCTAATCACAGAGAAGCAAGATACACATCTCTAACTGAGCAGAGTCCAGCCGAACCTCTGCTATTCATAAACATTTTTTGCAATTCGACATATACTGTAATCAAATATTTTCTTTCAATTAGCTTCCATTTCAATATTTCAAAAGAATATGTATTACACAACTATTCTGTTTGTTTCCAAGGAGTGTATTACTGACACACAGTATTTTAGTTTGGACTGAAAACACACCAGGCAATGCACAATCTGAATTCTGAAGTGTGCACACGGGCGTACAAGCTGCGTGATTCACACCATAGAGAGCTCACGTTTGCAGGTGCTCATCCTTGGATGACAATGTTTCCATTTTGTTTTCCTCAGGAACCTCCTGAAGCTTAGATGTTTGACCAAGGTGGACTTCACTTAGGCTACCTTCACCCACTTGGGCAGTACAAATAGTCTCATCTTGTCCTGCAGGAGGGAGACTGTATTTTTCCTGCTCCTGCTGCTGTTCTTGCAATGGTTGTATTACAGGTTTTCCAGAGCTATTAATGCAGACTTGTGGACATTTTTCAGGCCTAAGTGAGCCAAAGGCAGCAGTGCAAAGAGACGTATTAAGCAACATTTGAAAAATCACATATGCATAATGAAAAGCAAAACTGTAAGTTAACAAGAAACCCCAAACAACCAAATACACACACAAACCCATATAGCTCATCGGTGACAAGCTATGTGAGGCAGGTGCACAACCTGTAATTTTAATAGAGTCAAATGCTTATACTTCTATTCGTCTAAGACAGAAACATAAACGGTCCTGGACACCACCAAAGGTTAAAGTATTAAGCACATATTTTAACTAAGCTATTAAACTTAAGGTCTTCTTAACACCAAAGCACTGTTCAATTCTATGGTAGATGACAGTTTTTCTTCTGGCTGAGCTGCACACTAGTTTTTCACCTGTGCATGCACAAGCACATGGATACCTGTCTCCTCATGCACTTTGAAGAGGCTGATGAATAAGAAGCTTTCCACTCATGCTTACATGTGGCTCAACCAGCCAATAACAAGTGTTCAAAGGCTTAAACTGCCAACTTTCCCACATAGCCTCATGCATCTGAACAAAGGTGCTTAGAAAGACACAGAGCACTATCAGGAGGGATCTTGGATTTCCTGTTTGGAAGCCACTGGCACCAGCTAAACCACAGACAAGCATCTAACCTACAATATCCAGCACTTCTATTTCTAACTAGAAACATTTGTAATTATTAGCTCATATTTAACCAGAAACCTCTGCAAGCACAACACTATCTTGCTATCTATATCCATGTCCACATGCTCTTAGAATTTTGCATCTAGTAGAGCTCTGCTCTGAGTCTTTGCAGGGCTCTACCAAAATGGCCAGAAACCCTGCACTGCCTTTTTTCTGGGCAGAAAGCCGGCACAGAATCCAGGACAAGCATGGTAGAAACTGCTGCTAGGCCAATAACAACTCTTCCAGATCAAGAGATATT